AAAAAAAAAAAAAAAAAAAAAAAAAAAAAAACCAAAAAAAATCTTGTAAGAATCTTGTTGGTTTAAGTACTGTGAGTAATTAGTTTGAAAAAACAATACACAGTGTAATAACTACTGTTATGATTTCACTATTTGGTTATGAAATTTTGCTTTATTTTTCATAAAATAAAAAAAGAAATGCCAACAAATGTTATACTGATACACTGATCTGATTCATACTGAGGGCCACAGCTGCTCAATCCTACAGAGGCTCTCTATAAAGCCATGTAAAATATTCTTTAGATTACCTGGTTCCACCTCAACAGGAGGCTGGGACATTCCACCACCAATTCCCAATGGTGCCCCAAGTGACATTAATTCTTCAGTGCTGCACTACACCTACAGTTGGTTGAGTAGGTTCCCAAGGAAAATACCTTAAGATGGGGTGGAAAACATAACCCATCCACAGAGCAAGGGTTTAGACTATATTCACATGCAGAGACTTTTCACTATACCTGAAATCAAAGTAGCCCAACCAGATGTGACTCTGAGCACAACACCTGCATCTACTACACTATCCTGCCCAACCTAAACAGGTTAAATTTCATCCTGTCTTTACTACCAGTCTGTTTTATCTATCCTGATTTTCTTTCTATAGACCACAAAGCTATAATAGCAGTGGATTAATCTGGTCTAAAAAGTGAATATCATATTCAGTCATCATTTCTCTTTAATTGCTTTCATTAATGATCTTCAAAATTCCGATACAGTTAACTTCATCATTAGACTATAGCGCCTCTAAGAACATGAAATGAATTATGCCTGAATCTTACCATACTTGATGACCTATATCACTTCCCACAATGCCACCAACACAGAAGAAGCTAACTAAGTATCACTGCCAAGTTCTAATTCCTTTTTTCCAACCCACTTAAAGGGAGGTAATATAGTATAGCCTAACATTTCAGATTAGGGGGAATCTCAAGTATAGATCTAAAAAATGCATTATCAAATCCACATATACATTAAAACTGACAATGGATATTAATGGTACTATAAAAAATACTGAAAGTTCAATTAGAGATTTTTTTTTAAATTTCAGATATATAAAATAAAGTTCTATTCATACAGGAAATATCCTAGTGAAGCATTTTTTTGTAAATAAAAGCAAAAGAACATTTGGTTAAGTATTAATGCAAAATGAAATACTTTGAGGAGATGCATTTATACTGATAAGAAAAAAACTTACTGCTTGGTTTCTCTTCACTGAAGCAATACAAATCAAGCATGTCATAGCCCCTGCTTGAAAAGCTTCATTTACGTACTGTTTTGTTCGCTCTAATTCACGTGTATCTCCATCTTGAAATGTAAAAATTTTAAATCTCATGTTAAGAAACATCCGAAAATAATACAAACTCACTACTGACATCATATTATGTACCACATGTCAAAGCAATATTAATTCCTCAAAATGTGGCTAAAAATAACAAAGTTTAAAGAAGAACCCAATAAGCTGTTAAGAAGTAATGAAATCTATTAATTAAATCTTATAAACTTAGTTCAAAAACTGTACCTCAGCTCTCTGTCACCATGTACTTACTGTTCTTGCTGTTAAAATCCTTAACAAGTTCAGTGGGAGCAGAACTATAGATAAGAATCAATAAGATGCAAAGTAACAAGGGAAAGCACAAAAAAACAATGTGTGAAAGGAAATAAAAAATTATAAATGAGACCATTCAGTGTAAACTTAAGCATGGGTGTGTGGGTGTGTGAAGGATATTTATTTAGCACACAACATACTCAATAAAAAAACTTGAATGAAAACATGCTTGGGTCATTACCATACTATAACTATGTTCTAGTAAATTATGTTCACTATTTCAGCTGAAAACAGTAAACTTTTTAGAATTACTAGACTATATTTTCTTTAAGCAATTATTAAGAATTTATTCACAAGGCTCTACATTATTAGTACTTTTTCCATATTATTAAATGAACTATTATTGTCTTCAGTTACTGATGAGAAATGTGAGAAGACAATAAACCCTATTGTAATGCAGCAGTGAGGAGTTATGGCAGGAAGGTCCCAGAAACACAAGTAACGGTAGCAAATCGAGAGAGGAAAAGTACGCTAACATAAAAAATTACACCAAAGGGGCAGTAATCTGAGTCACTTTAGAGTAAGAAAAATAATCCTACCATGCCATTAGTATAATACAAACTGTCCAATACAAACCATTAATAATATAAGCCACCATAAATACAGAACTCACCATAACAATAGCCTAGTCCAAAACAAAATCTAAGTTGCCAGAAAAAAAAAAAATTAAATAAGATACATGGATAATTATTCACTTTCTATAATCATCTAAATAAAAACAGAAATTACAAAGTTTGCCCTGCCATAATATGAATGTAAATGTAATTTGGCTATTAAAAAATACATATAAAAACACTCCCAAAACTATAAAGTTACTAATAACAACTGCTTTATTTTTAAAAACATAGTTGTAAAATATCCTTAAAGCAGAATAATTACATTCAGTATGCTTATTTTACTTTTCAACACAGATAGCTTTAACAAATATGTATTTTAAATTTCATCTAACAGCTGATTTGCAAAATTTAGAATCTTAAAACAAGATAAAATAGGCTTTTCCAAAATAAAATCTGACTTTATATTTACAAAATTTATGTAAGGTTCTTTGAAATTTATTTTGACGTTTGGCTGTGATATTAAAGTGCACTGCCCAGCATGTCAGTGGATTGCGTGGCATCTGAAGTCATGCATTTTAAAAAAATCAGTCTGGCAAGCGAAAAAAAAAGAGGAAGCCCAGACTAGAAGCAGGAAAAACCGGTCAGAGGTAAGTTATACCAGGAAAAGGGAAAAATTATGTTGAGCAAGTTGTCTAACATGCCTCAGTTTTCTCATCTGTTGAACAGTAATAACAAATATTTCACCATTAACATGCAGATTAAATCAACATATTGAATAGCTAGCTGTACAGACCCAATGATAGTATACAGAAGAGGAAGGATAGATTTATGAAATTTAGGAAATACAACTTAGGTGACTCTGGTGACAATTAGATTGCATTACTTTAAAAGATGAAGTCTAAGAAAAAAGTGCCCTGCTATGAACAGCTGTCTAGCATGGCAGAGGGGAAGTAGTAGTAAACAATAACACATATGTCATCTATGTGCCATCCCTGCTTTTAGATTTCTGGCTTGGATTGGTGACTGGAAGACTGAAGTGCTATTATCGGAGGTAAAGAAACCAAAGAAAAATAAGTCATCTTTATATATAAAAATACACATGTATACATATATATGTGATGTGTCTAATGGCTAAGCAAGATAAAGTTCTCATCAAGAAGCTGGCCATGCAAGTTTGAAAGTTCTGAGAAGAATCACAAGAGTATACAAGCTGTGCTCAAATAAATATGAACTCCTTTAGTAAAGTCCTGGCATTCGACACTAATTGGAAGTAGGAGTCATCTCAACACTGGCATTTACTGTTCCTAAACCAAGTGTTCAGAGTTACCCTCAACTTCCAAAGGGACAAAGTGCAGAAGACAAAGGAAGGGGAATTAAAATATTAATGGATTTGACACAAACAGCATATGAAAAATAATCTTAACATTTTATGATGAAAACCCTATTAAAAACGTATAAAACTTACAAAATGAAATTTTCTAAGCACTAAAAAGATATTATTGAGTTATATTACCATATTTGCTATTTAATAACAAATAGTCTATCTAGACTAGTTTATTGAGGGCTTCTTAAAGCACAAAACTTCTTAAAATTACTTTCTATAAGTTGTCCAGAAGAAAAAAAAGACACCCTAACCTTAGTTACTTTTCATCGACTTCTACCTGGCTGAGGTAGATGTCTTAGTCAAACTTCTTAATCTTAATTCTTTAATGGATACAGCAGATGCCCTGGAAAGCTACTTCACCATGTGTACCTCTTCTTTATGATCCCATCAGTATGTGTGGCACTACCTAATCACCAAAGGTAGGGGTGAAGTGGGAGAGGAAAGGGCAAAGTTAATAAATCATTCTGCCCCTAGACTTAACTAACTCTTATGCTCCTGAATTGCCTTTATCCTGAGTCAAGCTCTGCTCATTTTGTGATATCACTAGCCTTAGTCCTCTCCAGAAAGAACAGTATAATAACCAAGAAATACGTCAGTAAGGAGATGAGATAAGTCATACAATTTGGGGCCTTATGACCCAGGGAAGACAAAATAAAAAATAAACATTTTCAAAAAGTTAATGAGGGAGTACGTTGTGGTAGAAAATTTCTAATAATGAAGTTCACAAAATATATTAAACATTATAGAAAACAAATACATAGCATATACTCTATGATAAGGATTACTGATTTATTTTATCCCTACCACTCTAGGGTATTTACCATCAGTACGTCCACTTTACAAAAGACTTAGTAATATATATCAAACATCATATAGCCAAACAGCAGACAAGATTCAAACATGGCAGGTTGGTTTGAGAGACAAATGTTCTTAACCACTCTACAATGCTGATTTTTCTGCCATAAATAAGTACAAAAGCAATAGTCAAATCTACCTCAGGATTTTTCTGCTTTTACCTAGGAAAAACAATAAGCATAATTTTGGTTTAAAAGCTAAGTAAACTAGGTTTAAACCCAGTTCTGCCATTTACTAACTGAGTAACTCTAAGAGTGAAGTCTATGTAGTTGTTTCCTAAAAATATCCAGGTTCTTCTAGTTCTGACAAGATCCTACAGTGAGTAAAATAACTAAGAACATATTACTAGGATAAGGATATATAGTGCTCACTTTGGCAGCACATATACTAAAAAAGGATATATAAACAATACCAAATATATCTACAAATAAAGTGATAAATGTTGGTAGTATATTCAAGAATATTTCTAATAAAATTCAAGTACAGAAAGTTTCAGAGTACCTGTATTTACCTTTAAAAGAATCTACTTTTTACAACTTAATACTAAGTCATACACAGCAGCATCACTTTGGCCCTGTCTCACATAAACAAATGTGGCTTTAAGGGCAACCAATGATGAACATAACTGTATTGTATACCTAAAATGTAACAATAAAAAAAAAAGAGCAACTCAGATACACCCAGGCGATAAAATGAATATACATGTCAGACAGACCTGAAGAGATTTACTTAAAAAACAAAGTGTGAAGATCAAATGTGATTAAGATATAAAATATAAAGTCGAGTAATACAGTTCAGAAATGACGAAGTCAAGATTTTTAACACAATGAAAGAGAAAAAATGAAGAATAGACTGAAAGAAGGATCCAAAATCCTCTAATCCAGTCAAGTCACAACCACAGATAATCTGCCAGGCACTTTCTCAGGGAGCTTTGATAGCCCCTCCCAGCATTCTACTGAAATGCTAATTCAAGTTATAGCAGAAGGCAGGGAAAGAGCCATCACCATTCCATTTGCTTACCTGTCTGAGTAGCGTATGTTGTAAATGTATTAGCAATTATTTTTCCCTGTTTCCCTTCAAATTCTTCATCTCCTTCCTCTTCAGATGAACTAAAATGTTCTTCAACAAGTTTTCTGGCTGCAGCTTGATTAGCCTTCTTGATTTCCTCAAATTTCCTCTGGGACATTAGCTCTGTTTTAAAAAAATGTTTTAATTTATGCAAAACAATCTAAAAGCAAGGGAGGCCAAACTAATATATTATTTTTAAACATGCATTTGAAAAATCACCTTTGGAGCAGTCTATCTTGAGAGAAAATGTTTTTTTCCAAATTTCTTGACCCACAACTAAAGAGTCACAAAAAAATTTTCACTTTTCTATGTTTCTTTTTTTTTTTTTTCTTTTTTGGAACAGGGTCTCACTATGTAGTTGAGACTGACCTGGAACCCACTATGTAGCCCACAGCTAGTCTTGAACTCACAGCGATCCTCCTGCCTCAGCCTCCAGAGCGCTGGGATTACAGGTCTGTGCCACCACGCCCGGCTTCTATGTTTCTTACAAACAGCAGTAACAGATTTTTATGAGATTCTTAAAAACAAACGCTGGCAATCAATTCAGATGTAAAACACTCTACTGACCAAACAGTATGGATTGGAACCAGACCACTGGGAAATAATTTACAACTTTCAGGGTAGGGATTCTTGCAGACGAAAAAAGAGAGATGGGAAGAGCACTGGGCCAGAGAAGTGAAAGAAAGACCGACTAAAATCAGACCAGTGTGCCAGAAATCTGCCCGAAAGGTCTGACAAATGGGCTCAAAAACAAACTGCCCTGGAGAGAGAAGTGAAGGAAGGAGGGCGCGGGCAGAGGCAGCCCTAACTGTGAGCGTGCTTAGGAAGCATCCAGGTGAGACCGAGGACAAGAACCACTAACGCAACTGACCACGGAAGTCTGAGGCGCTCCGGCCACCGCGGGCCGGGGCGGTGCCTACTACCTGCAGCCGCGGGGGTCTCGGTTCCTCCGGGGCTGGGGCCAGAAAGGACGGAGCCCCCCGACCTCTTCTCTCGCCCTCCTCCCGCGCCGTGCAGAGGGACTCCATTCCCCGGGGAGGGGGCTGCACTGGCCCGTCCTCGGGCACGGCCTCGGCCACCGGCCACCTGGCGCCAGGAAGCTTCCATCCCTGCAGAGGAAAAATAAAGGAGTGGAAGGAGTGTGAACGTGGAGGTTTGGAGGAGGACTGGCACAGTGGGGAAACGGTGTGCGACCGGCTGAGCACAGGGCTCCCCGCAAGGGACGGGGTGGGGGTGAGAAGTCGCGGCCCAGTGTCTCCCACAGGGCGAGTCTCCGCGAAGCCCGGGCTCTGGAGAGGGACCTAAGAGGGAGAGGACTAGGTAGAGAAATGGATCACGGGACAGAGAGCACGTAGGGCCGGAGAGAGAGTCGTGAGATAGGAAGCGACCCCTCAGCCTAGGGAAAGGACGGTGGAGGAAAAGCCGCACGCTGACCCAGAGGCCCCAGTCGTGAATCTTCTGCAGTAGCGGACCCCACCGAAAGCTACGTCTCCTTACCGACGGCGCCTGTCCGCAGCGACTACAAGTCCCAGAAGCCCCGGCCTGTAGCAGGCAGAAACCGTGGCAGCAAGAGCACATTCCTTATCCGGAGAAGCCCAGGGCGGGGCAGAGGGCGTTTAATGCGCGTGCGCAGACTGGCCTCTTAGGTCCTTTGGAGAACTACAATTTCCGGCATGCTCTGCGACTCGGGAAACGGTTTGTCCAAAACAGGACGCTCCCTGGGGCGGAGCTCCTGAGCATTCCGCGTACTAGATCTCAGCTGTACTACAAACTCATCTGTGTGTCAGGATTTCGCGCGGTGACCCCAGCTGGCTTTCCGCTGTCTTTAGCCTTGCTTGAGGTTTGCAGAGAACGGGAAGATTCTCACTGGCTAGAAGAGCACGAAAAACGAAAATATTTCGGAGTAGGGTGCTGTGAAGAAGGAAGGTTGATGGAGGAAAGTTGCAGGACATAGATCAAGTTGAGAAAGCGCCCTTCTGAATTGCTAGAGCGATGCAGAAAACCTAACGCCTATCTTTACCGTAGTCTTTCATAGTTTACAGTGAGCTTTTCCTTGAACCGTCCATTTTTACCTTCAAAACAGTGTCCTGGGTTAGATTTTATGTAGGAAAATAGTTGAGAATAAGGACCTAAATCTTTTGACTGCTAAAATTTTCCAATAAAATACAGAGATTCCAAAAATATATTTGGGGGCTCTGGCTAGGATTGATGTATTGGTTGGAATAATCCCCCAATCATAAATAACATTTGTATATAGCATTAAGTGTCGGTGTGATATATATAGGTGTGATATTTATGTGGAATATATATGCTAATTTAGTACGTAATAACCCTTTTAATATCCCAATTTTACCCCTAAAACCAGAGGCACAAAGAGGTTAAATAACACCTTTAGACATTCAGCTAGGAAAAATTGAAACCAAGCTTGAAACGTAGATAGTCTTGATTTACTAGAAACCATGTGTTAACCTCTTACACATAAATACTGCAGAGTTGCCTGTACGTTATCCAAACTTGAACATGTCCCTAAGACTATAACTTCATTGGCTAGAAACCAAAAGGTATAGAGGGAAGGAAAGTTTCCCTACTCCAAAAAATGACAGTTGCTCTTCTGAGGTGCAGGAACTCTCTTAAGGCTGTACATGTATAAAGAAAGACTTTTAGTTTAAAGCTGCATTTAGCATTAATAGTTTAGAAAGTCTAAAGTTATACTTTTCAAGAGTGGAGTTTTCAGATACAGGGAAGGAGTTAACAGTCTGAAAGAGACTACAGCGATTGTCACTGAGTAATGTCCGAAAAATATTGAGTGGCTACTAACAAGAGAAATTCTTCTTATAACAGTGTATGCCAAAGATGTGGATGAATATATGGTCCAAATCTCTATGCTAAACCTTCATGAAAACAAAATTCTTCCATTTTCCCAAATATTTAATAGTACTTTCTGTATGCCTGCATTCTTCTAAATCCTTTTTGCTTTTACATTCTAATATCAACAACAATCCATGGTGTAGCTGTTGTTATTCAAACTATATTGAAAAATTAGGAAATAAAGGGACAGAAAATTGTCTTATCCAGCAGCCTAGCAAAGCCAAGTTTGCAAACTGGTAGTGTGACTCCTAGCATGTACTCTTACTACCGTGCTACATTGTGATGGTATAGCTGTATTTAACATTTACCTGGAGATTTCAGCTATTATTTTAGACCATCTAAACGAGAAAACGCTCATAAAATCAGAATTTTCCTTACCATATTATATAATGAATTTTTAAAATTTTTATTTTTGTTAATTTGTTGCAGGACATAATGATTTTTCATCATGGGGAGTTGGTACATGTACATAACACATCTTAATTCTTTTTACATCTCCTTGCCTTTCACTTTGGAATCAAAAAGACTTGTATCAGCTAAGCTAGCAGACGTTCATACTGTGACTATAAATTTTTTCAGAGCAGAATTAGTGTGTACATTACACGGAAGTATATGTAAGCTGAGAAAACTTTTTCAAATTTTTCTATTGCTAGATTTTTTAACTTTGAAATTTCAGGTAATGGGAAACATGTTCTTTGTTCACACTGGGTTAAAGTTTGAGAAATACAACTACCCAGTTATAATTAATTTTAATTTTTAAACTGTATCCACAAGAATAGCTAAAGACAAAGAGTGACAATACCAAGGGTGGGCAATAATGTGGAGCAACTGGAACCCTTATAATGTTTAGTGGGAGTGGGGAGCACTTTCAAAAATATTTGGTAATATCTACCTAAGTTAGACATTACCTACTACTAAAGCACTATATTTAAGAAATTCCACTTCTAGATATAAGTATCCAAAGAAAGTGCTGCACAAAATCTCATTCTCAGAGCAGATCTGTTCAAAACAGCAAAAACCTAAAAACGATGTCCTAGTCTGTTTGCTGCTGCTATAATACCTGAAATTGTATTCAAGTCTTGAATTTTCTGGGTAGTCATAAATGATGAGCAATTTTCAAGAATAGTAATTTAGAGTCCCCCCCTCCCACCTCAGCAGCAGCCGGGCAAGAGGCAGAACTACATGGAGCTAGACTGCAGCCTCTGCCCAGCTCCCCAGACCTTGGCAGCAGACTGAGCCGCAGCCCAACACCCTCCCCCAAGTGCACCTCTTGCCTCCTGGCTGTGCTGGTGGCTGGAGTCACACCACAGAGGCACAGGGGGTTATAAAGCCCATTGTACTGAGCTCCAGCCCCAATTTTTATTTAATTCACACTGTTAAAGGTGACAGATTAATAACTACTAAAAACTGTGATTTTTCTAAACTGTGCTTGATGTTTTTGTGTTGCTGATGTTATCACTTGAGCTGAAGATGTTGTGATTGATATAATCAGTTGTCCTTCCTGGTATAATAAAAAAAGAGATTGCCTCAGAGTCACTAGAGACTCTATAGACAAAAGACAAGCTATAACAGGAAGATCAAAATAATAGCCCAGGTATCAAACCAAGGACCATACCAACAACAAAAATAGAAATGAGAAGACATTCAACCAAGGCACAAGCACAAACACAGGCTAACCAAAGGCAAATTCTAGGGACAGGAGGTGGAAAAATTTGATGATCAACCGCTTGGACACCCTGAACAAATAGCAGATGAAGTAACAAAACACATGAATGAGTCTCTAGAAAAAATTCAAAATAGATATAATTTTCCAGATAACTACAGAGATGGTGAGCAGAGTGAATGACATGATTAGAGACTCTAGAACAGAAACAGATTAAAAAAAAAATACATGAGCTCAGGACCATGATAGAAGCCATGAATGCCCAACATAGGAAAGAAATGGAAACCATGAATGCCCAACATAGTAATGAAATGGAATGCATGAAACAGGTTCAAATAGATATCCAGGAGATTCAAAACGCTACTGAAAGTATACATAACAGACTGAGCCAATCTCAAGACAGGATATCAGGTATAGAAGACAGGATGGTTCTCAGTGACCATGAAAGGAAGGATCTCTTAAAAATAGTAAGGAACATGAGAAATTAGTCCAACAACTCCTGGATGATACAAAGAAGAACAATATAAGACTGAAATGAGTCCATGAAAAAGCAGGAGAAAGCACAAATGACATTTTAAAAAAAATTTTTTCACAGAATTAATGACAGAAAACTTCCCAAACAGAGCAATTTGACATACAGATAAGTGAGGCATATAGGACTCCAACTAGCCATGATTAAAAAAAAATTTTACACTTACACATATAATTATTAAGATCCCAGTACCCCAACAGAAAAAGAAAATACCACAAGCAGTTAGAGAAAAGAAACAAATAGCATGCAAAGGAGAACCCATTAGAATAGCAGCAGACTTTTCAACCCAAACATTCAAGTCAAGGAGAGCCTAGAGTAAGGTATGCCAGACCCTAAAAGAAAACAACCTCCATCCTAGTCTGACGTATCCTAAAAAACTATCTTTCAAAATTGATGGGGGAAATAAGATACTTCCATGACAGAGAACACCTGAGAAACTTCATGAATACCAAACCAGAACTACAAACAATTCTAAATAATATTCTAGAAAAAGACAATGAAGATCACAACTCAATGAGGCCCAACAGAACAAATCCAGCAGGCAAGGCAAGAAATTGAAGAAGGAGAAAAAAATTAAAAAGAGCCAACAACAGGAAAATAAAATGATGATGATAAGCCAGTATATATCAGTTATAACCATTAATGTTAATGGCCTCAATTCACCAGTTAGAAGAAATAGGCTGGCAGAATGGATTAAGAAGCAAAATATGCTGTATACAAGACACTCACCTAGTTCAAAAAGAAACTCATAGACTGAAAGTAAAAGGATGGAAAACAGTTCTCCATGCAACAGGAACCCAGAAAAAGCAGGGGTACCTATCTTATTTTCAGACAAAGTAAACTTCAAACAAAAACTGATTAAGAGAGACAAAGAAGGTCACTACATCCTTGTAAAGGGAACAATCCAAGAGGAAGAGATGACAATCATAAATATATATGCACTGAATACTAATGCCCCTAACTATACAAAATAAATATTAAGGGACATGAAAAACCAAATAAGCACTAATACAATTGTAGGTGGGGACTTAAATATCCCACTGTCATGAATAGAAAAGTCTTCTAGACAAAAAATCAACAGCAAAATACTAGAACTAAACCAAACTTTTGAACAAATGGACTTAACAAACATTTACATAGTGTTCCAACCCAGAAAATCAGAATATACATTCTTTCTTGGCTGCACATGGGTCATTCTCCAAAATAGACCATATACTAGCTCATAGAACATGTTTAAGTAAATGCAAAGGAATTGAAGTTATCTCATGTATATTATCAGACCATAGTGCAATTAAACTGGAGATCAATAGCAAAAGAAACTGCAAGAACTTCACAAACATATGGAAATTGAATAACACTCTCTTGAACAACCAATGGGTCATAGAGGAAATTAAAGAAGAAATTAGACAGTTTTTACAAATAAATGAGAATGCCAATACAACATACAGGAAATCTGTGGGACACAATGAAAGCAGTTCTACAAGGGAAATATATAGCAGTAAATGCCCACAGTAGGAAAATAGAGCGAGCAAAATTAACAATGTAATGCTGAACC